GGGCTCCCTGGTGACTTGAGTCAAGCTGTTCACCCACCCCCGGGCACGGTTAAACACCGCACCTTCTTCACCCGGCTGCCTTTGTCGGCAAAGGAGCTGAACTGCTATAGGGCCAAAACTTTTTCGTCGACACGTTCAACGCAGCACCCACAATAAACAACTCGAGAGGGTTTTCCTATCTATGGTGCATGGGGACCCATTGAAGACCAATTCAGGGACCAACACGGGGACCAACTGGGGGAAAAACTGTGGACCAATGGGGGACCAACTGGGGGACCAAACAGAGAATCTCTGTAATCAACCCGAGGGGGATTGTAACTCATATCTTGTTGTTTGGTACACATGAAGAGCTGACTCGAGAGTTCGCTCGGCTATTCGTAGCGGAACTCGTCTCTTGTGGAACTTGCGCTCAAGGAAGCGCCAATGCACAAGCATTGCCACTAGGCTGTACGCTAAGCTGTGGACCCGGACTGCGGCTGCGCTTGGAATGGAATGGAATAGTAGTAGTAGGCCCGCGTCCCTTATTTGACGCTGCATTACGCTGCTTGTGGTTGAAGTGGAGACATGCAGAATGTGTGGCCAGCGCAGTGAAATTCTGCTTTTTTAACATGTTCATTTGGGCACAGCAGACTGAATTGGGGGAGCGGGCAAGTAATTTTTTTTGGTCTGCGTGTGATCGCTCTCAGCAACCTTTCAGAAGCCATTTTGGCTTTGCAGCAGAGGGAGTCATGGCTCGCCGAAGTGTGTCTGGCAGGGGCAAGGGCAAACAACTGCATTTGTGCAGATTGTGTGGGGGCAAGGACCATCGGCAAGAGACATGTCCGAGCTTTGCTGGCAAGAAGATTAGAGAGCTTCAAGCTCAGTTGAAGCACTTGAAGGCTGGCTCAAGAAAGGCGCGCTTGCAAAGAGCCGCAAACGGGTGGCCCCGGAGAAGAAGAGCGGCAGTCACAAGTCAGCTGCCAGGAAGGCGTACAGCGGAGTTGCAGAAAGACATTCCTGGAGGAGCAGAAGGTCAGCTCAGATGTGCATGCTGCGTGGAATCGCTTGCAGAGTCTCGGCTTTGTGGAGAAGCCTTCTTCGTGTTCCCATTGCCGCTCCAAGAGACTGGTGCTTTCGAAGGCTTCAAATCGCAGCCGGAGCGAGTGCATCTACCTGCGCTGCCTCGACTGCCATCGGTACACGAATGCGCTGTGGTTCAGCTCCTTCCGAGGGTTGAGATGTAGCATGGCTCAGCTGCACGAGGTGATCATGGTTGCTTGTCCGTGAAAGAACAGTTGTAAGAGTCCAAACCCTAAACCCTAAACCGTAGTTCCGAAAAACCCCAAAGCCTGAACCCTAAACCCTGAAGCAGACACGGAGGCATACTCGCGACTGAATTTCATGTCTCGACCGAGCGCGGATGCATTGCAGCGGCAAACACCTTTTGGCAGAAAGGGTGCTTGGACTTTGTTTTGCATTGTTTCCTTTTGCTTCAGGTTTAGTCGTGGGTGGAAGGGTTTAGGTGAAAGGGGTCTGGTGGGCATGCAGGCTTGCAGAAGATTGTTGAGCTTCTTTTGCGAGCAGAATCCCTCGTCGGCAAACATCGAAACCGCAATCCGCTGTGTGGGCGCTTGTTCGAAGGGGACGCAACAGCCATCCGCAAAAGCCTGGTTGGCACGGGCAACAAAGTGTTCAAGCGAACCCTGCAGCAGAGCGGCTGCAAGACGGAGGAGCGACCGAGCAAGGTTGTCCGGCATCTGCAGTCGGACAACAGGACGTGTGGTCGTGGCAGCGTTGCCAAGCAAAGCCGTGTCAACTTTTGCGCCACCTCCGCCTGAGAGAGGGATGAATCTTCAGCAGGGAAGAGTATATATTTGGTACTATGCTGTTTCATGTTCCTACCCGCAATTCCTTAGGCCTAGACCCGAAACCACAAAAGCCCCAAAATTAAAGGACAAAGACTGAAACCCAGCAAAGACATCCGAAAGCAGTACACCCCAAAACGCCCAAAAGCCTTGAAATCCTGAACGTGTCCCGAACACAAACAGTGCAAGCCCAAAAGCCGTGCACCCTGAATGTAAACCGCGCAAGCCCAAAAGCCGTGCACCCTGAACGTGTCCCAAAGCCAACACTGCAAGACCAAAAGCCGTGCACCCTGAACGTGTCCCGAAAGCCAACACTGCAAGCCCAAAAGCCGTGCACCCTGAACGTGTCCTGAAAGCCAAGAGCACAAGCCCCAAAAGCCGTGCATCTTGAACGTGTCACGAAAGCCAAGAGCACCCTGAACGTGCCCCGAAAGCAAACATGCAGTGCAAGCCGAAAAGCCCTGAAGCCTGAACCTGCAGAGTCCCGAAACCCTAAACCCTAAACCCTAAAACCGTAAACCCTAGACCCAAAACCCAAAACCCTAAACCCTAAACCTTTGAGGCAGACAGAGTGTCCCTATGAAGCATGGACACGGCCGCAGTTTTGGGCACGCGCAGACGCAGTTATTCCAGCGCAGACTGCGCAAGGGGTATAGTGCAATGTTTCCTGGAAACGCAGTGTTGGGTCCGTGGCGCTTCAATGCCGATGCTCGGGCAGATGGGGCAGTTGGTGCCAACACGTCGGGGCAGAGCACAGCAACGGATGAAGAGGGCATCTGTTCAGACTCCCAGGACCGTCAAGACTTGTAGGCATAGCACCCTAAACTGTGGTGAGTCAAGTCAAGTCCGTATCTTTGCAGGAGTCTGTCATCGGCACACAGGCGGAAGAAGAGAGCAGGCGGGGTTTCTCCAAGAAGGCTAAAGCTGCAAACCAGTAATCGCAAGCTCTAACCCTAAACCGTAATGTAACGTCGAACCGACCCAGTAACAAGTTGGCAGGCCGGCCAAAGTGAGGAAGACCGTGGCGGCTTGTGGAAAGGTGGCAGCGGCTCCGGATTCGTGGTATCTGAAGCTTGACGCCTCGTGGGTGCGCAACGTGCCGGATACTAGCAAAATGTTTCTGCGAGCGGGGTCAGAAGAGACCTTCGGAGGGCATGACATGTTTCTGGAAGGGCAGAAAAATGCCCGCAAGTTTCGTTGGGGCCGTTGCCCGTGGCACAATCAAAGAGGGATGGTGCCTTGGGTGGTTCCTGACGGCGCCCATGCCGGAGACCTGATCTTGATATGCAGTGGGTTTTGGGACCGCGACTACATCGGCAGATGCGCCTGCTTTTTCAAGCATGAGTTTCCCCGGTCTCGAATCTCTGAGCTGAGCCCAGAGACAAAGGCCGAGTGGATTTCTTTCCGGGCAGCCTTGAGCCGAGGAGCAAGGCCTTGAGCCCAGGAACGACGACAAAGTTGGGTAAGTGTTACAGCAAGTTAGATATGCGTTCAAAAAGGGTCTCGGCAGTAGGCTTCGCCTTGGACTTTTGCCACGCGTTCTGTCGAATGATGACATGTTCGTGTCGATGTGCATACGGCAGTGCGGGGAGAGGGGGCCTCAAGTCGGTGACTCCAAAATGAGTGCCAGACAAAGACCACCAAAGTTGCAGGGCGAGAAGCACCGTTGAAAATGAGGGACGTCTAAGCCCCAAACCCGAAACCTCGCAGCCTCAGGTGACAGGTTGAAGGCCAAAAGTCCTGCGTGCTTAAACCCCCAAGCCCCCCAAGCTTCAGGAGCAAGCCCAAAACTCCGCTACCCTGAAGCCTTAAACCCCAAACCCCGAAGCTTCAAGTGGAGGCCCAAAAGCCCTGACCCTTAAAGCCAAAACCCCAACCCCCCAGGTTCAAGTGGAGGGCCAAAAGCCCGGTACCCTTAAGCCCGAAACCCCAGACCCCGAAGCTTCAAGTGCAAGCCCAAAACTCGGTACACTGAAACCCAAAACCCCGAAGCTTCAAGTGGAGGGCCAAAAGCCCTGCACGATAAACCCTGAAATTACGATAAACCCAAAACCTGATCCGAAGAAAAAGCATGCAACCCCAAAAGCCCTGAAGTCAGATCCCCTGAACCCCAAACCTCATCCCAAATAAACTCCCGCAAGCCCACAAGCCAAAACCGCATAATTCAGAACACTCAATCCCAAACCTCATCCCAAAAAAAACAACAGTCCACAACCCCCGCAACCCCCGCAACCCCCCCAACCCCCCCAACCCCCCCAACCCCCAACCCCCCCAACCCCCCAACCCCCAACCCCCCCAACCCCCAACCCCCCACCCCCCCCCCCCAAGCCAAGCCAAGCCAAGCCAATTCAATTTTCATCATAAATTGTTCGCGCAAGGCCCTCATAGGAAAAGCAAGGCCCTCATGGGAAATGCAAGGCCCTCACAGGAAATGCCAGGGCCTCACAGGAAAGGCAAGGCTTTTTCACAGGAAATGCAAGGCTTTCATAGGAAATGCTTCCCCCGACTTTGCTGCAAAACCTGCAACCCCCAACTATGCTGCAAAACCTGCAACCCCGAAGCTGCAACGCCCGCTCCCCCAATTTTGCAGTACATGTGGGAAAACGCAGTGTGAAATGATTGAGTAGTGAGGAAAACCATCGCGTCAAATAAGAGACATACCCCTAGTCCTAGTAGTAGTAGTAGTAGCAGTAGTAGTAGTAGTAGTAGTAGTAGTAGTAGTAGTAGTAGAAGCAGTAGTAGTAGTAGTAGTAGTAGTAGTAGTAGTAGTAGTAGTAGTAGTAGTAGTAGTAGTAGTAGTAGTAGTAGTAGGAGTAGTAGTAGTAGCCGTATCAGTAGCATAGCAGCAGCAGTAACAACCACCCAGGCAGTAGAAAAAGAACGGCAAGACGCGACCAACCCCTCGTTCGCCCACCAGCGATACCGTATGTGCGACCGCCACCTGGACAAAGAAAAACACAATAAAATCCAATTGAATTAGGCAACTGGATTGACACACGAAACTTAAACATGTTTGGACATCTGTGTTCGAAAAGAGAGATAGGCACAGACCGGCGCTCATCGCCCTGCTACATGTAAACACCACATGACAATACTTGTCACCACAGACAGGTTTCAGCTGTCGTGTGCAGATTGTCATGGCAATGAGACGACGGCCATGGCAAAGCCCTCAATGAACTCCGAAAACGTCCACAAGACCTGGAGCTAGGCTGGGAATCGACCACACTGGAACTTAGAACCAGTGCCTCAAACCGTGTTGGGCAAGTCAAAATGGTGACTGGACTCATAAAGCCCATGATCTGAGCTTTGACACAGGCCTCTAGGAGAGAATAATCGTTGGTGAGAAGCAGCGCCGCAACAGTGCAGGGCACCAGAATCACCGTCATGTTGCAGGTGTCATGCCTCCGTCAAATTTCGTCAAAACCCTCACGCATGTGACTTTACTCTTCCTCAATGCTTTTGGGGGGGTTTCCTGCCTGCGTGCATAGGTACTATCGAACTGGTAGAAGCAAGCTAGGACAACGATGGATGTGACAATGTACCTTGAAGCGCACGATCCCAAACACCTCTGACTATGTTTTCATGCAGGCATGTCTGAAAGACTGCAGCTCAGCCAGCGGGTCACGTTAGCTTGAAAAACACGAGATAGAACGACTGCGTGTGATCAAACAAGTCAAGGTACCTGAAACAACATCATCTGCACAAATGCGTGGCAGTCCGACTCTCTAGCATTTGTCACTTGGAAGAGCAACTTCACGAAGGCACCGAGTGCAGAAGACAATGCAGTACAAGATCTGCGTTGTCCTGTTCGTGTGAAACGTTTGCTTTTCTCCAACTACCACAGGTGTGCAAACAGGTGTGCAAGCACAGGCAAGGCCTGGAAATTCCTGCCACTGATTTATTTTTCGCTATGGTAACCAGCAGCGTCAATATCCTCAGCGATGCTGCAATGTCTGCAAATGACACGGAAAAGCGTGTAAAACTGTTAGTTTCGATCATCCCCACCCTGCAGCTAACCGACGTGGAGGTAGGGTATTCCCAGAATACTCGGCGCGGTGAGACTCTCTGCGGGCTCCAGCAGGACTTCGCCGGTATTGGCGCTCCAGGGCTCTCTGCGGGCACTCCAGAGATTCTCGGCATGACTCTCTGCCGAATTCTTTGCAGGTGGCAGGTGGGCAATTGAAGGATGCTCGGCGAGACTCTCTGTGGGTCTGGGGGCACTCCACGGACCAGGCTAGGAGACCAAGCGGGACAAAAGGGGACAAAGGGGAAGGCGAGCGTGGAGGGCGAGGAAAGTAGACGGAAAAACTGTGCAATCGCTGGCCGCTGCAGCGCTTGCTACCACAGAGGTCTCAAGCTCAGGGCAAGTCCCACCCAAATGGAGGTAGTCACCTATGTAGCGGAAGATGTTCCTGGCCAGCGCTCAGAAGCAACTGATACACATATGCATACGGACAAAAGCTTCTGTAAAAGCGCAACGTCCGGCCACGAGTAGGCCGCAAAGTTCACAAAATTGGACCTGACTTGCGCAGCAGTGAAAACGATGAAACCGACTTCATAAGTTTTGACACCTCTGACTTCTCACGTTGCTGCGTGATCAGTTGAACCTGAGGATTTGGGAGTGACTTTATCGAATCCTCGAGTGGCGGACGCGCCATGGAGCTTGTCCATAGAGTCCAAGACCTCCAGGATTTGGATGCATTTGGCATATAAAGTGCATCAGACTGCATCAGCATGACCGCAAAATCGCAAAATTCGCAGAGGGGGGAAGAAACTAGTTGCCTGCCGATACTCAACCGCCTGGCACTTTGAAATGTATTGAATAGTCGTAAAATTGAAGAATTGCAAGACAGCAGAACGAAGCACGCATCTCATCCCATTTACTTTCATCCCATCTGTCGCGCCACTTCAGCATTCCAAGCTACTCACAAGCAGTGATCAACAACACTGCCACTGACTGCACCAACTCGGGGCATTCCGTGGCCTTCTGAAGTCTGCCCGCAAAAAACAGCCGCTGGCCCGGCCATACTCCAAATTATTCCACAATTGGGGAAATGCCCTGGAGTCGCTGGATAAGGTCAGTCTAAGGGTCTTGAAGGTGTCCCAAACACCCAAGGCGCCCATCTTCCAAGCGGCTCCCCAACCACAACACCCTCCGCCCCGGGCCCTGCACCCGCCACAGCAACCCCCTCCCCCAACCCGAACAACACCCCAAAATAAAGTTGCAAACCCGAACACGAGGGAATGGGCAGGGGCACTTATTCCCCGATCCTAAACCCTAAAAACCCTAAAACCCCCAACCACCACTCAAAACACAGGGACGGGAACCTAAACAAAAAAGACGGACAACCTATGCGAAAACATGTCTCCTGGCTCCTGCGCACGGATGACACACACACACACACAGTTGCTTCGAAACAATGTTTGGGCGACTTGATGAATGCGAACCCAGGATGGCGCACAGCTTCTAGGCAAAATCACAAACATCTACTGGACTCTGAGAATCGCAGGTACAGCCATGCCCAGTGGCGGCTTCCCACGAGCTCATTCCTTGGATGTTGGTCCTGATCTCGTGCCACGTCCCCCTGCTGAAAAACTAAATGCAACTTGCAAACCTTTTAGTGACAAGTTTTACGCACACACACACACACAGCCTAGAAAGGAGGGGCATGCACAGATGCATTCATCTAAGCATTCAAGACAAGACATGCTCGCACTCGAGAATCTTTTTGCAGCATGTCGCAGGCTGAAAGTTGAATGGAGGTTTGAAAACCTAAGTGAAGGTGGTCTTCGCCTCCCTAGCAATCACGTCTTCCAATCAATGCGTCTGCGGAAATGAGCGTAATGTTCATGGGTTGCATGCTCCAAATTCTAATTTCCTTGATTTTCCTTGTAGAACCTGTGCTTGTAGCTGAAGAATACGTTCCGTTGCAAAAGAACCTGTTTGCTCAATCATCGAGTTGATTTGTTGTGATAATTTGCGATGTGCGCTGCAACTGCTTCTCGGTCGCGAAGATCCATTGCTTGGTCATGACAAAACTCGCGAACGTCTTGGTGAGCTACCCAAATCAGCAATTGCTCCACCATGCGAACTGAAAGGCATGTCTGTCAACCGCAAACATCGGGTTGGGATTGCCCGATTTAGACGCGCCTGAAAAAAAGAAACACGAGGTGTACAGATAGTCACGGTGTAGCACTGCTGCCCGAAACCAGTTCATTTCTGACAAGCTACACCATTGTACTCTTGAGCGCACCTCCCTAGCCCCGTCGGATGTCCACACGCCGCTGCGTGCACTAGAATTGTTTGTTAAAGTTGAGTTTGCAGGTGATGGGCCCCACCCCAACCCAACCCCATCCCACCCTGAATTTTAAAGGGTCGGTGGCGGGGGTGGTAAGCTGGACAAGTTTCCTGAATCAGGCGGCTTCTGGAGTCACGTGGTTTCCTGAAGCTTGATTTTCCGAATCGCGCGGTTACCTGAATCGTGTGGTTTTCTGAATCACGCGGTTCCTTAATCGCGTGGTTTCCGGCATGGCGTGGTTTCCGCCTGCATCGCATAGTTTCCTGAATCGCGTGGTTTCGTGAATCGCCTGGTTTCCTGAATCTCCTAGTTTCCTGAATCCTGGTTTCCTGAATCACGGCCTCTGCATTTTGCTTTTTGCATTAAGTCGAGTCCGGAACCTCCGGTGCACTAATTCGTATAGTACACTAGAGCTGCTAGTCGCAACAAACGTCCAAGCGCAATCCTCTCCCAACGGCCCATTCTCGCATTGCTGCCGGGCGCAGGATGTATGCGTGGCTAGCATCGACACACCGAAGTCGGTGTCCGCCCCGCCCAACCCTAAATCCCAACCATTCTTCCAGATCGATTGCCCCACACTGGGCCAAGCCGAGGCGGGGCGCGTGACGATATCTTCTGAAGGGTGGCGGAACCCGACACATGCAAAACGACATGTGACGTTCAAGCTCAATGAACGGGCCTGCTTAGCTGCAACATCATCTCCCATCACTGTGGCGGCCTTCTCTGAACATCGCTGAACTGAATCCCACTTCTGACTCCGAGACGAAATCAACGGCCTTTGCGCTTCACAGGAAGTGACCATGTCCGGGCACGTTCTACTCCACTGATTGAGCCAGCATGTACCGCAGCTCATAAGTCTCATGAACATCTTCACTTTGCAAGTGTATGAACCAGGTTGCAAGATGCAAAGGTGCAGCCCAGGTTTTGGATGTGTCATACATTGACTCGATTTCGTCGTCTGGCCAACTCCTGAGCCAATGCTGTTGCGGGTATGCTTCATGAAACTTTCTTGAAGAGTCGTGAAGTGCTGTATCGTAGGTTGGATAAGCCATATGAGACGCGACAAACACTCACCTTTTTGTCCAAGCAACTGTTGGTGTGAGGCCGTGCTTGTCCTGCAAGTCTCGTGAAGCGCCAGCCTGCTGTGAGATCAAGGACCATGCACGAACTTTGCGAACGCTACACGTGCTGAGAATGTATAAGCCATGCTGAAACCCATGCTGCGGACACGAGATAACGACCTGTAAGGAGCTGGAAAAAGTCGAGGCTCCAAATGGTTCCAAGCAGAAAACTGGGAACCAAAGCTCGGGCCTCCACCAACTTCGATGCGGCAGCACCTCGTTCCCATGCCTCGACCAGACAGGACAAGCGCTATTTGCTGAGTTGCTGCCCATGTCGGCGTCTGCCTGTCTACCCGAGCTCGCGGCAACTGCGATGTGCAACGCGCTGCGCCCATCATTCGCCTGAGGACTCACATCTGCGGAGTTCTGGAGCTCCATGATCAGACATCAGCAGATACCAATTGCCCACTGACTTGTTGTCCGTGTCGCGTCTTCCACTGACAGATAATCTGGGTGTTGATTCCAAACCCGCGAAACGACCGCCCACCCCCACACGATGTCACATGCTCCCTGCGAATGACCTCTGCAGCGCACACCGTCACATGATTCATGAGAAACTTCTAGGCCCCCCGATGATCCGCCAATACATTTTCTCGCAGTGCCCACCCCACAGGCTTTTTGGAGTGCCAAATGCCAGCCCCCCCCAAATTCCACGTCCGGCACTCGCACGCTGCGATTGGCGAGGCCGGACAGACTTGCAAACACCTGCACATTCCTGCACACCAGCTCTCGCTCTCACATTGCCTCCCACCTACCTGTGGGAATTTCGGGCAACAATAATCAGAAAGCACGTCAGCACACAGACGACCCCCCGAGCATCTTTCAGGCTGGGTTGGGTTGGGTGGGCACTTAACTTAGACAAATTGCCCGCCCCTTAGCAAGGGCCCTTTCAGCTCAAGCATTGTTGACCTGTTCACATCATTTCACATTGGTTTGACTGAGGAAGATGTCATTTAACAACGCGACCAGGGGACAGCAGGACCAGAGGAGCAAAGGACTATATAGGGGGGGGGGGGGGGGGGGTGCAGCCCACAACCCACTGCAGTCCCAACATCCACATGCCTCGGAGCCAAGGTGTGGATCATAGGGTGAGGGGAAGTTCGCGAGCACACAAAGTATGCCGATATCTTGCCTGGATTGCATCTGGGCTTGTGACGGTTGCATCCACCTCTGCACGTGCGCGCAGCAGTTGCTGTAGGGGCTGTGACGTGTCGGCCTGCAGGATGGCGCTTAGCCAACGACACGTGCGGCAAATAGAGACCTGCCTCCACTTCTTAGGCTGCGACACACTGAGCAGTGAGCTCAATGCCGGTCGGCCGGAATGCTCACTCCTCATAGCCGACATTGCTACCAAACATTGCAGCACGGCCAACTCAGCTGGCAATGAAAATCTTCTTGCTCCTTATGTTGGGATCAGCCCGCATGGCTATGCCTTTGCTGGCAGCTCCATCTGGTCCCACAGGACTACAAAAAGAAATCGAAGCCTGGGGGCACTGCCTTCTGCACTGCATCCACATCACATCCTGAAGTCCATGTTGCCCGTGCTTGAAGTGTGCTTGATCATCTTGAAATCATCTTGATCGTTCTCACGTGTCTTGGCACCCCACGTCGCGCTGCATTGAGAAGGAGCTTTGATGCGACCCTGGAGCTTTCAGACCTTCAGGGTCTGGGAACCGCGGTCTACGAAAGCATCGAAAGCATCTTTAAGCAAGCACGGCTTAAGCTCACACAAGTCACGAAGATTCACGAAGCCTAGGTTGGGCATGCTCGATGCTGCGTGCCGAGCCCATCGTCCCATGCGCAGCACAGATCATGGAAATGCCAAAGTGTGATCTTGCACGTGTGCACGGAAAAAAGCACTCAGCTTGCTACTGATATCTTCGGTCTAGACATGTCTAGACTATCACCTCTTTGTAATTGCTGAGCCAACGCTTGTCAGCATGTTTTCAGCATAGCAGAAAGCACTCTGCGCATGGTTGCACGTCATGGGCACCTCATCCCTCAAGGCAACAGCACCATCTCTGCTCTAGCGACTCCATTTCGGATCTCCTGCCTTCCATTGTTGCAGGAGCTGCACGTAGTTTGCAACGTTTCCGCGATTGTGAAACAACGATTCATGAAACTTCATGAAGCTTTCTTGTCGAGCATGTCGCGAATAACCTGTCGCAGCCGGCCAGTCCCGTCAGAGCACACACTCTTGCGGTGCTTTGACATGTCATGATGGCATCAAGCGCAGGGTTTGGGGACAATGGCTTTGTGTCGTTGAGCTGAGGGCGGAGGGTATGCCAAGCTACAGGACAAACAACACTCACGAACAAACATCGTACAAGTTTTTGCTTTGTCGCCGAGAGCTGCTTCCTGTCTGCATATCACCCTCGATCAAAAGAGATGTGAAAGGATGCTGAACACTTGAAAGGCCTCCGGAGGAAAGCCAGGGCAGCTGTGGTAAGAGATGGTAAGAGAGCACAGGCTACTGACTTCAAATCCAAGGCAAGCCGTAGCGCCGTAGGGCTTCGAGACCTCCATCCCCAACGGTGACAATCCCCGCCGTTGGGACTCACACACGGTGCAGTGTCCTGCCCACTGCATGTCACTGGGATGACGTCCAGCACTTTCAGTTGTAAACGTTTGGCACGGTGTATCTGTCTTTCGGGTTTCGTGTAGGTGCCACGGAACGCTTCCAGAGCCAATCGAGACCCCGCCAGGTTCTGGCCCAAGATTGCGGGACGTCTGCGATAGCCGCAGGAACATCTGAACCAAGCAGCGGGTTTCCAACCCACGGGTACATCCCGAGTGCTGCAAAGCCATGAACATCAAAACAAACTAGAGCGACTGTGACAAGTCTTGAACACCATGGGTTATTGCTACACATTGTCACACCAAGCAAGCCTCGTCTTTGTTGCTGACTTCAGGCAGTGTGCTTGAAGTTGCTGGCATCGCCGGCAAGGCTGCCTGTAAACCAAAGGCTGACATGCCGAGCAGATCATGTTTATGCACGGGACCCGTTAAGTGCATCCCAGGTGTTTTGGACAGGATACCAGCATCAAAGCTCATAGCAAGCCAGAGTTAGGAGAAGCAAACGCTGTAAGAATCATGTGACAACAGCAACTGGTCCACCTTGTGCAGCACGGCAATGAACTTGTCGTAGTACTTTGTGTCTGCGTTCTTGTAGGTAGGTTTGATGTGTGAGTACCTGAGCTCACACTGTCACAAAAGAACACTGACCCACATCTACATTCAAGAAGGCAAGGGCTAGGCAGTAGCTTGCCTCGACATACTCCGAAATACTGGCACTCACGGCTATCCTGCAAATGCCTCTCCAAATTTTGCCAAGACTATTCTGACGCCATGGGGACGCCATGGGGACAGTCAGCCAGGGGTTCCATGCAAACAGTCAATTCGACAACATTCAACAACATGACTCACATAAAACAAAATCTGACTGGAGATTCTATACTTTCAGTAACACCAAGGTTTGGCCTGAGCAATGCCAGCAATTCATGCGCAGGAAAGCAGGCAATTCGGTCCCGTACAGGGGTGACCATGTTTTTATACACAGGCACTTTTCGGGGTTCATGTTGGCTTCTTGAGATGTTGTGATTCATCAACTTCATGTCGGCATCTACGGGTTGATTAAGTTTACAGGATTTTGTAAGAGGTTTATTTTAGATTGAATTTCGAATGAGAATCAAGGGATAGGGGCGCATAGGTACCTCGTCGGGGGGGGGGGGGGTCCGAAAAAACACGAGAAAAACATAAAACATAACATCACCGATTGCCATCGTACTGACGGGAGGGCCAGGAGATGCCAGGAGGGCCATCAAGAGCAGTAACGAAAAGAGTTGCTTGGCTATGTGAACTCAGATGCAAATCCCGAAGCTCCAAACAAGGCATGCAAACCACAATCCTAGGTAGTTTACTGCTCACTGTAAGTCCAATGCCATAGATACGCTGCACCTTTGTACTCAGGGCACCTCGGCATGCATCCAAAGTCAAGGCTTCCCATAGCGCAGCTGGAACAAAGAACCCCTGCAAGCCAGAGACGAATCAGATCAGACAAGTTCGGTGCACTAGCCACCAGAAGAAAAGCATCTTGAACTCCTGAGTGGGTGCCGGGTGTGCGCTTAAAAATGCTTGCCACATTGCAGGCATGGCTGGTACATGCTGGCACCAATAGTGTGGAAAAACATGGACATGGTATGGCATGGCTGAGTGTGAATTTGTACTTGCTCAATGTACAATTCTAAGAAGCTTCCACAAACAGTGGACAATAATCCACTAGAGGCCACAGGAGAGTGGACTCCAGGAACATCCAGACGGCACAGATGGCCTCAGCCAAAAAAAGGACTGGAGTACACGAATCCACATGACGAAATGCGGAGCTCAAATTGCAATCCAAAAACTCTTCCACTTCAAAACTTGAAATTCATCATTGAACTCAACATCTTTAAGAGGCCCAGCGAAGTAGGTGGTGAACAACACATAGTCCAAATCTGATAACACTCCACCGCCTCGCACCTGCGTTTCTCCAGCTTACTTCGCATGCTGTTACACACTCTGTATCTGTATCGGCGCGTCCATGATATGCTTCCCTGAACTCGGAACTCGTCTGCCTTGCGGAAGTACTGCGCAGCGGGATGGCCGAACTGCAGAAGCACCGAGAAGGTGCAAGGCGCAGGCAGTACTGAAAGCATGGAGCCACTGGAAACCTCTCACTTCCGGACAGTATGGCGGGTCATTTTCAACTACCTATGAAACTACTGGGAAGCCAAATGGCCACACGCCATAGAGGCGAGCTTTCAGACTGCCTGTTGCAGGCCTGACGCCAGCTGCAAGTTGCATTCTCTTACACCTCTGTGACATTTTCCTTCGCTCATTCTTACTTTCTCTTACATTCCGCGCGACAGAGCATGAGCTGGGGCTCTCCGTTGCACTAACACGACAAGTTCAGCGCTTGGGCAGCGTTGAACTCGGAATCTACGATTCGTCCGCACTTGCAGAACCTACTAGTACAAATACTTTGGCTGTACTGCTCTTGAATTTGCAATCCGCCAGAGGCGGCTCCGTGAGTTGAGAAGGCCTTGCTTTGAGGCTGCTGAGAAACGGCACACACTCCGCCAACAAAGAGAGCTTGGAACACTCCAAACTGTTCAAATATTGTGAGGAAGAGAACATATGCGGATATCTGCGGATCATTGTGGATCATTGGCCGCTCCGCTCTCAAGATGGCGCTAAGCCTTCGAACTTCATGCTCCCCAACTCCTGGCACTGCAACGCCACGTGCATAAGCTGCAAATGTCCCGCCAGGCACCTAAAGCTTCCAAAGCTTCCACAAAACGAGCGCAACGCGGGCTACAGCACCGACCTCATCGGTCCCCAGAACAGCGTCTCGATCTGGTAACAGTATCATTTCGTCGAGAGCCTGCGTCACTAGGAGTCCCTGCTTCATGGCATTCATGCAACAGAGAAGGCCTTGCCAGGCGCCACCATGGGCAAGCAAATGTCAGGAACCTCGCGTGCTCCCCCCCCCGCCCCCGCACGCCCTTCCTTCCCCAACACCAGATTTAACTTGCCATGTCTTGCCATGTTGTGTGTAGGAGAGCACAACGTGAAAAGCATGCCCAAGTAGCCATGTTGATTCAGATTGTTTTTCTCAAAAGAAAGAGCTCTCTGCTCTGCCCCCCCTCCCCCCCCAAAAAAAAAAAGAAAAGAAGAGGTTCTCCAAGGTGGGGACCACCTTGAAGTCGACCAGCATCGGACCATCATGTGTCAGCCATTCTTCAACAACCTGAGCAACAGAGGAGATGCGTTATCTTTAGCATAATATTTTTAGCATTTTTAAGCGTGTTTGTACTCCGTCTTGTACTCCTTTTTGAAGACTCCCGTATTACCCCCCGTCGCTCTGACCGATGCCTTCGGCAGGTCTGCTTCATTGTCGCAATGGACAGCGTGTATTCCATAGGCCTTCCGCATCGGCCACACACCGAGGCGCAGTTCACTCGGGCCACCTTTGCCCTGGACTCCACTTCTGCTTCTACGAAAAGGCGTCATAAGCTCGTCATCAGATCGTCACTATTTTCATGACTCACGTGGCACATTGCACAAGGTCTGTGGACGTTTTTACGGTACAGCTGTCCAACACCTTGGCAAGGGCGACAAAGTCGGGGTTCGTGTTGGTCACCTCAATGGTCACACACGATCTCGTTGCGAAGAACTTTGAACACGCTTCACTACACTTCAACTGCGACTTCATTGCTGGATAACGAATGTCTGCCACAAAGCCGCACTGATGTAACGGCCGTCAAAGAACAGCCGCTGCCAGACCCAAACCATTTGCTGCCTGGCACGGTGCGAATCTACTCCCCCCGCGATTTCCTACCCGAAAGACACCTGTCGTCATTCATCACCGCGATTTTGACGGGCAAGTTGTACCTGCACTTGTTAAAGTCTGAATTGCAGAGCCTTCTCCGCTAAGCAAGGGTCAAAAGTTAAAGCGTAGCAAGCGGAAAACTGCTGAATTACAAAACAGGGCATTCAAGACTCGAAGAATGGAAAGCGTGGCTTCAAAGGAACCCCAGAACAAGATGAGAATTCGGAGGAGCGTTGCGGATTGAAACTGGAACGCCGCAACAGCACGTAGGCCACACAGCAAATAGGGCACATAGTATCTGGAACTGAGTTTGAATGCGTATATTCGAAAGTTGGAATGGGCACACAGCTTCGGAGACTGGAGACTTGTGGATTCAAGCACGTGCTGATTGGAAACTCAATAGCTCCAAGCGTCAGTTTTTCTTGAATGAGTAAGTCGAGACATGGATGCTGCAAAGCGCAGACGATGAGGCGGAGGACACGTACAGCGCCAAGCAACATCCAGAATACGCGCCATGGGACAAAGCAAGTACACGACTGCTGTGGCCCTGATGCACACAAGCTTGCCAAAAAGCATCCTCCTCTCCTGCCCCCGCCCACATTCATCGTTCTCTGGCCCAGTGTCTAATCCGGCTTCAATCAACGAAGAGCAAGCCAGAAGCGACGACACCTAGCATCTAGAATTTAAACCCGGGAGAATACAGTTTCATCGGAAATCCTGTCATAAAGGGCTGGCCTTGTAGCCTGCGTGCCTAGCGCCTCCTCGCCACTCTGTTAAAAGCAGGCATGTCAGCACTTCGCTTCAGGATGCATTGTGAAATCTTTGTGAAACCTTTCCGGGAAAAGTCCGAAGAGGGACCCAAAGAGGAGTACTGCTTTCCTGGCCTGGCAAGCCTGGACACAGTGTTCTTTCGGAACAAGAAGCGGAGTGTTGCTGCTTGTGCTGATCCGCTATGAAAATCCTTCCTGTGCGTAAGTTGGAGTTTGCGTGGACAACTCAGGACCCGCTCGACTGGCACATGCCAGCACGTGCACGAACCTCTGAAATCGAGCACAGGACAAGGGACAAGTGGTGCGGGAATGTGCGAGGCCTCTTCACAGTCTGGAGATCCATGTTGGTCATGCCGAAGGAGCCGTCCCCATCAATTAAGATGGTTAAGGCATCTGGGTTTGCCACCTGCGCATGTCTTCGCATCTTTTTGACTCTACAGGCTCTACAGGGCTACCCATGCTACCCAAGGCCTGCGTGCCAATGGCAAAAGGCAGTCCTGCCCCCATCACACCCAAGCTGCCGCTGGTGATGAAAGTCCGTGGCCTACATCCGCGTCACTTTTTGGAGGAATTTCGGTACAATGCATGGCAATGTGTTGAGTAGCCTTATCCAGCGGAGAAACTGACAGGCCATCATCTGGTGGTTACCGACACCAGTGGCCACAAACACGTTCTTCTTGCTGAAAACGTCTGCTCCATGAAGATAGTTGTTCACCGCTTCTAGAACCTGATGAACACCAGGCTGTTGCGATCCCAAACTTGCAACAGCTGACAAGCCTGCTGGACTTTGATCTTCCCAGCAGGAGCTCTGACGTAGTCGAATGCGTGTTGGTCTTTCCAATCCTCGGCAATTAGAGATGCCAGAGATACACCGAGCATGCTTGCGAATTTGAGGTTGAAGCCTGGCATTGCTTGAGCCAGTCTGCGCGGTCTCCGGCAGAGACCAGGGGCTCAAGAGCCTTACATTGAAAGCATGACGGCGTTTTCATGAGCACGAACTTCCGGCTATTTGATGCCTTTTGCAAACATCAGTTAGCACAAAAGATCACAAAAGCAGAAATGGTGCCTGCAGAGCGTGCTCGGTGTCTGCCCACACTGCCACTGTGGGCTGAACAACCTTCCACATAATTCCCGGAAGGATTTTCATGACTCCAGCTTGTTTCCCGGCAAAAGTTCCTTCGGAGAACTGTGAAAAAACTCAACACGCTGCGTGTCTGTAATGAACTGCCTTGCCTAAGACTTAACAACTGGTTCGGAAGTCTGCAAACACGAAGCTGAACCAGCATGCCTTGCCGAAGGAAGACTTGTCAATGTTGATGTGGATGATGCCGCCAGTGCCGTCCTTCTCGGCAGCCTTGGCCTCTGCATGTCAGAACGCATTGAACGTCTTCCCGTTTCAAACTTGGTCATAGCGGCGTTTCTCTCGCAACTTATCTGAGAATCTAATCCAGTCGAATTTGAACGACATTGCTCGACTTAAGCAGAACTAGCCAAAACTTGCGATGGAAGGCAAACCCGGAGGACGTCCGGAGCCCGACGGTGCGCTGCAAGCAAAACCAACAGGTCCAAACGTCACAGCAAAACATGCACAAACAAATGCATTGCATGTGCTGGCGTATTCTGCGCAAGCGGGCTTTTCGGGCCCACGGATATGTCCTGGAGCTGAAATAAAGCTTCACAAAATCCAGGAGATATGGTCTCTAGGTCCATGGTAGTGGTCCGTCGAGGCACGCGCAGATGTATAGCAGACCCCCCCCCCTGCATTTGTAGAACTGGGGTATCTCCCCCCCTAAAGGCTTTGCTCGGCTGTTCCCCCCCTCCGCAACATAGAAATAGGGATGACGGCGCCATGTCCAGATCTTGTTGCCCTCTGAGCTACGCCGTATTTCTTGTTGCTCGTTGCGGGAGAGCTCTCCATGCCAGCAAAGTCTCCTCTCTCTGCAATATTGCTCGACGACCTCGACGCTGTTCACCCGCACCGATCGCAAACGGCTCGGTCGGGTCCTCTTCCGTCACCTGCTTCATGAGGTTCAGTGTATTGAACTCAGCCGGCCATTTCTCCTGGCTGTTCAACATGTAGTGTTGCAGCCTCCTTAGTGTGGTCGGCCCCCCCCCCGAGAACAGTCGAAGCTGGGTTTCCGCCTGTTCACACGGTCCACGGGATTTATATGGTTTTAATAGGAGGTAGGAGTTTACATAGGCTTAAAAGGGACAGCGATTCCCGGCAATTGTTTTTAAATGCGCGCCGCGCGGAAATGTCTTACGACACCCGGACGATTTGACGTTAAGAGGGACCTGGCCGGCACCCCCAACAGTCATCTGAATAGCCCGGCAAACTTGAGTTTATAGCGGGGGTCCCTGCGAAAGCAGGTGGAACATTAACACACACACACACACACACACAGACACACACTCACTCTCACTATCCACGTCACCCCACAGCCGAGCGACAAGGCTCTCAATGTGTTTGGCGGTCAATTGATGTGCAGAACTTGCCCCGGCTAAGTAGATTTAGCTTAGACATGGTTATGAAGAGGCTGGGGCGTGTTTTAACAGTTGAAAGGTGTACATGTTGCAACACAGAAACATGTATCCTTTCAAGGGACCGTATATTCGCAAGGTGTACCGGAATGTGCCAGATTACCGGGTAAGCGGCCCGAGCGCTGCCCGTTTTGCGACCTGCAGCCCACCAAGCCAGCCTCTCTGAACCGCACGCTGCAGAAGAGCAGCGCTTTCCAAGAGAGTCTATCATCCATGTCATGGCAACTGCAGATGCAAGTGTCTGCCAAGACATCAGTCTATCTTCAACATTCATGACGACAAGGAGTGTTGTCGTCTGCATCCCAAAAAAGCCCCGAAAGCACATGGATGCAAACCTTTTATTTTGTTCATTGCACGAAAAAATCACCATGGAAACCACCAGAAACATGAAGCGGGTAGTGGCGGGCAGCGATGATTCAACACGAAGGTGTCGGCTTTTGCTGCATTTGCCTACATGCTGTGCACACGGTGCATTATGTTACGGACACATTTTCTACCGGACTTTATGTTTCTGTGAGCGGGAGGACGGCCGGAGGGACGCATGGGACGCGATACGGCCTGAATGCCGCACCAATGGCGCGGGGATGGGCACGGGAAGATGGGAGGATTTTCGCTGAATTGTAATACAAACCTTGTACCGGCGTCGATGTTTCCGTGAGCCGCCGGAGGGACGCGCTACGGCGTGAACGGTGAGTCAATGGAACGGGCAGCCGGGATTGTCGTTGAAGCGTGGTGCAAATTGCGTACCGGTGAGCCGGGAGGACAGGGCTGGAGGTACGCGAAAAGGAAGTACGCGTAGGATTTTCGATGCTTGCTGTACAACTTCTCTACTGGAGGGGGGGGGAGGGGAGGGAAGAGGGGGGAGGGGGGGAGGGAAGGGAAGGGTGGGAGCGGGGAAAGGGATTTATATACATATATATATGTATATACATATATATATATATGCATATAATACACATTCTTTTTAAGATCCAAACTGACAGATAAAGTCTGGACCAGGTACAACTACATCGATATTATCAAATTCTATCCCCTTCCGACGGACGCGCCATAACATGACATAATGGCGCGTGGATCACGCGGCAAGGAGTCGATGTTTTTCGCGTGAGACCTTCAACTAACCTATATACATCGCCTTATTGTGTCTTATTCTTATACTATAAAAAATCTGCATACGTAACGGACTGCAATGTGGGGATTTCATTCCGGCGCTCTTGCAATTCGGACTTTGTTGGGTTCCTGGCTTGACCTTGTGATATTTAGCGTCACATAATGTGAACGTTAGCACTAACGACACCTATGTCTCTACCTCAGTCAGGGCATGACAGAGGATAAAATACATGAACATGTCATCACAAAGACCAGCATCATTAAGCATCCACACTCGCCACAGTTTACAAATGTTTACAACCCACAACCCCACGCGCCCATGAGAATCCTGTGCCGAGAAAACTCTCGCAGCACGTTAAGCGATTGAACTGATAAACCTTTTTTTCTGTTCCCTCGAAAATGCAGCCCAGCTCTTTCAATTCTCCACAAGTAGACGAAGCTGGAAGCCACTAGTCACGCACCACAACACGACGTCACTGTTTTGAACATTCGGAACAGCACATCAGACCTGGCAATGGTATGAGACATCCCTGCCTTTGGCGCGTACTTGGCCACAATGCCCGTGGTACGATCATCAAACCTGCTGCCTGAAAAATGGACTTTGTTGCACTCATGTTGCACTCACTCAAGAACGCATCAACGAGTTGGGACACCAAGCAGATCCCAGCCTACGGCGATGATGCAGTCAGCGTTCTGTATGGCAAAATTGGCATACGCTGCCCTGATCAAAACAGGAGTCTTCCAAAACCAGAGGTGACAGCATATGAAAGTTGATGAAAAGTGGACGACTGAGGAGCCTACCCATGCATGCCAAGCATGTGCAAGGACAGAGGCTCGCGCTCGTCGAAGATGCCCATGCCATGGCACTACAGCGCAGTCTGGTTGGGTGCAAGTCTGCATGCGCTCACTCTCTCACACACACACACACACACACGTCCTTATGCATGCTCAGCTAAGTTTCCGGCCGTTGTGGTCACTGGTATATTGGCCTTCTTTGCCATCTGGGCCAAGATTTCTGGGCAGTGGCTCGCACCTGGGAACCAATCAGAAGATGGTGCATCTTAACAAGTCTTCTTCAGGATCTCAGGCAGCAGCCTTGGCCTACATAAAGAATTGGACGCTTAGCCTTGTTTATGAGATCGGCTGCCTTCCAGGCAAGCATGTACGAGACAACAGTTTCATACCGTGTATAACCATGCAAACCAACAAAGCGACATCAGCGAAGTCTTCTCAGCGAATGGCCTTCTGCACAGCTCCCATGTCCAACATCGGGGGCGCATCCGCCGTTAACGTCGAGGCTTTTTTGAAAATTGCTTCGGGAACTTGTGCCTTCATTGACACGATGTCCTTTCAAAGCGAGCTGCAATGTGCCCCTGGCTAACGTTTTGCCATGCCGATCTGAAGCACCATGAAAGTTGGCGTCTCGTCTCCTTCGGCAAGTCGATGTGGCAAGGTCCCGGGCGGCCAGAGGATGCGATACGAAACGCCTGTCGAGCGAAAACGCTGTGTTGTGTCGTGTTCGCACTAGTTCGCATTGTTTCGCTTTCTGGCCTCGTTCACTGCCCAAGGAAGCTGATTGAAGTCCAGGCAAACCTCAAGCAAGGCTTGATACCTTTTGAGATGTTGCACATGTAGCTCGACAGAAGTCGCCGATGGCGCGCACATGGTGCAAATAACTACTTTGAAAGCAACTTGAAGCCCTAAGATGCCCTGAGTCTGCTTCGTAATTCCACTTCGTGCAAGAGCGCGTAATCTCAGTTGCAGGACACTCCTGCAAAGCACTGAACTGCATTGTTGATCCACCCCTCGAGTAGCATGTCATGCACACCGTTTCTCGCCTAGAAGCTAAACTGTGCATCTTCACGTTAACAGAAAAATGTGCACACAGTATAGTGAAGAGCACACAGCAGAAAATACAGTATACGGCAGTACACGTCAATAACAAAGCGCTGCTGCATTGCCACGACGTCACTCGGCTTCCCTCTCTCAATATCCCAAACCCCACTAAAGCCTTTTGCATGCTGGTTTCAAGCCTGGGTCCACACCTTTCGAACTTTGAGATGCGACACTCTTGCACCACATGAAGATGTTCTGAAAGCAGATGCGGTGACGCATGGACAAGCCGCACGTCCTGGAACGCATCCGTGCCCATTGCGCCAGTTGGCACTTGACCAGAAAAAATGACCATGGGAACGCCGTCCGTCAGCGCGTCCTTCGAGATGGCAAGCTGCAGTGCAGCGTGAAACAGATCTAAACACTCTTCCGGGCATTGCATTGCCTGCATGGGGGTCACGAGGTTGGTCAATCCAGGGCCACTGGTCACAATGGCCTCGGCAGATAACTGCCACAAAAGCAGCAACCAAATACCGTAGACAACCGCGTCTGTGCTCACAGCCTCACAGCTATCGCGATTGATGGTTTCACCTTTTGACCAAAACACCAAATCGACTATGGCTGCTGCAACACCGAACTTTCCTGTCGACTTTGCGTAGGCAGCCGCTGAATGGCCAGAGCACCTCCAAGAACATCAAGCAAAACAGCAAAACATCAAGCAAAACATCAAGCAAAACATCAAGCTGTCTCAAAGTGCAGGCGGTGCCGTCATGTGCTGTACCACAGAAACTCAGGCTCGAGCTGCTCGTGTGCTGATGTTATCCATTGAATGTTCTTGCCGTGGAAGGCATCAATCAGTGGCAAAACGGCACCTGAATCCAAAAAGCCCGAACGAAAAACTGATCATCGCTTGCCAGGGCGACAAGACTGCAAAATGCATGGCCTCCGCTATAGCCAAAAACTGTGTCCACGCCGTGTTCCACCAACATGTTGAAAATCACCTGGAAGATACACAAACTCGCACGGGCCCCTGCACTCCAAGAAGCATGCCTCTCCGCCAGTCATCTCCCGAAGCGGGGCCACCTTCTTTCACAAACCAACAGTGAAAACATGTGTCAGATCCGATCCCACACTTGCCTTGGAACTATGCCATCTGACATCACGCAACCTGCCAATTCGCATGTGCACTGACAAAACAGGAGACCACAGCAAAGGAACAAGCAAGGTGACTTGCCAAACGAATACCAATTTCTTTATGTGGATCACACTGCATACGCTGATGAGGCTGCAAAATTCTGTAGAGGTCCTCCACTGGAGTTCATGACAACACATCATCAAAAGTCGAAAGAGAGTGTGGGCATAAGCGCATAAGCAAAGCAGTGCAGTCACCCATAGATTTGTGCATAAAGCAGCTTGACACACATTATCATTGCGCCAACCAAATGGGGACCAAAACAGCCCAAACTATTTCGGGATGCCCGGAACTCTGCTCGCACGCTCTGGGTTTCATCTGCACAGGCGACAGTATGATAGCATGGGTAGGATTTAACACAGTTGGCCCATGGCGTAGTCAATACCCAAGCCCATGCTCAAGCTCAACCTGCCGTGCAGCATTCAAATGTTTCCCGATGAAGTATACCGCAGTTGCAATCTAAGCCTACTTAATTTCCAAGTAGGCAGGACCTGGCGGCATTCGCAGCTTTGCACTCTGCACTTTGCCTTCCGAATCAGAAACGCAAAGCCATGTTGACAGCATGATAGCATCGGCTGCAAAATAATGACTGCCATGTACCTGGTAAAAGAGAATGTCGATGAAGCAGCCTCCAGTTTGATGCTTAGCTGACGGCAATGAACTGCTATATAAACTCATCTAAGCTCCACACAAAGGAGCTTTGAGTTCTTCGAAACAAGTGTCTCAACACCTGCCGCACAACACTTAAACAAACAAAAGCTTGCAAATACTTCCTTGTTACCCTGCCTCCCGTTGGCAAGCTAAAGCTTGAAAGGCGGACCGCATGCAGCGCCGATAAAATCCTGCAAACCGTGCTGCGCGTTGTGAACAAACACAAAACACCCACAAGACACCCACGAGACACCCACGACACCCACAAGACATCACAAGACACTCACAAGAGACCCATGCCTCGGCGCCAACAATGCCTGCAAGGCCAGCACGACGTGTTGAAAGAAAAAGGGCATGCAAACTAATTCAAGAATGTGCATTTCACGCTCAAGGCTCGGCTAAGGCGCGGAAGTAGTGCCGGCTTCGCAAGCCAAGGCCCAGCTCGATATAACGTTCAAAACTTTCAGCCAACTCCGACCGGTCACAAGAATGCTGCGCATGTTGCAAACACCGAGTTGGTCCAAGCCACATTCCACACTTTAAGACCGCTTTGGTGAAGAAAAAACGTGTCAACAAAACCTTCTGGGTCAAACGAATGCCGAATGAGCATGCATGTAAAGTCGGCAAAATAAATCAGCTTTGACACACACACGCACATGTACACACGTGTTCGATGGACATCGCTCTCCCGCCTAGGCGCCGTGCGCATCGACGTCGCCACCCTCGCAATTGTCGTCGGTGTCTCTGTGGTTTGCTTTGGGGGACCGTCTCAGGGACATCGATCATACTTGTTTCTTAATGGGTTTTCGAGCCTTGAAAATGGTTTTTGGGAACATCAAACCACGCAGAACACCCGTGGCACTCTGTAGCTTGGGAACTTCAACTCAAAAAACACGCCTCCCCCAAAATTCCTGAGAAGTTAAGGCTTTTAGGGTTCAAGGCTCCACACACCCCCCCCCCCCCCCCCCCCCCGATTTTCTTCAGCGAGGGTGGGCTGAATCGAAGGCCCTGTGATGTATCATTCTGCTTCACTCATCAAAACAATAAGCTGACACATGGCACGTCCTCTTAGTTAGCACCCTGCTATGTTCATGAAAGGTGTAAGCTGACGCATAACAGGGCTCCTTACGCATCACACTGCTAGCGAACCTGTGAACTTGGAAACGAATGTGGCTCGCGAACTCACAAACTAAAGACAAAGAAAAACAACGATGCATGATTTCAGGAGTTTGTTCATTGACTTCACCCGTTTGTTTCACTCACGCATGACAGTACTCACTCTGCTGCATTCATCAAAGGAGCAAGCTGACACATGTCAGGGTCTCCGATGTACCATTCTGCTGTAGTCATCAAGGGGCTACGCTGATGCCTCTTGTGTGTCACGCTGCTGTGTTCATGAAAACAAGGGCTCCATGCGTAAAAAGTCAAAGCAGCTAAAGTAACCCACCGGCTTAAGGTCAGGGAAGCAGGGAAACTACCAAACCCACAACCCACACAGTAAGCAGGCAGCTACCACACTTTTCACTCACAAGCGCAAGACTTGTTGCAGAAGCTCGTGGCCTTTAGCCTTGAGCAAGGCTCGTTACGTGAGCCAAAGAGCGGATGTGGCTTTAAACACTCACTGCAGGCTTCCAAGCATGCTGAGGTCCTTTAGGTTCAAAGCAAAGCTATACCAAGTCACTTCAAATACTTTCTCGCACGACAAAACTCTCAGCAGACCTTCACTTCCAGTCAACTACAGTTGCTTACACCTTGCCGATGGGCAAAAAGCACTTCACCTCAAAGAGAAAACAGTTGTCCTGGACAAAGGCTTCGGACAACGTTCCAACGACAAACGGACGACTTTCACCACATTTCAAACACGATGTACAAGCACACTACGCCTACCTTGAAGTTCAAATCACCATCGAAACATGCTCAGGCAATGTCTGGCGATTCCAGACCGTAGATGTGGCGGCACACTTTTAAATTAGGTTTGAATTTCATCTGGAAGCGCTTAGTGAATGTCGGCTACAAGGTGGCAAACCACAGGGTAGTCAAGCTAAAAGAACAAAGACGTCAGCTAAAACTAGTCCTAGCAGGAAACCCCACCGAAGATCGTTATCTGGCTCTCAGCCCTGTCGATTCTTCAGTTTTACGTTGAGTCCGCACGCCCAACACCCTTTGAGTTTTTGAATCTCTGAGTACGACGATCTCTGACCCAGCACACCTCTTAGAAAATGGAACACCATGTCCTGGAGTGACAGGAGTGGAGACCACTGTTGGCATGTAGCTGGCAACCAGGCTAGAGAAAGCACCACGTCCCTTGTTGGAACAGAAGAGGCGAATCACGGGGTGTGAGAACACCCGAGGGGCATCCTGTGCCTCTGCACGATGCAGAAAAGCCTGGTACCGTGGCATTGCAACCTGAAGAAAAATAGTTGCTGGAGTGCTGCAACCGGTGATCTTTGAAGCGTCTTTGCCAGGTGGACCGCTTCAAGGCTGAACGCTTCGACAACCAAAATTCAGGCAGGTCTGAGGTCTTGGTTCCGACTGCCCGCGAGAACCATCTTTCAAGATCGTGAAAGCACGGCGTCAAACAGGGCATCGTGCTTTCATGAAAGATTCTCGTAAAGAAACAAAATGAGACAAACAAGGCAGGCAAGCAGCTCAGTGGTTTCAGGTGCGCCCGGTCCCATTGTCGGAATGTGGTTCTTGAAGTGACTACGAAGCGCACAAGCGCCATGGGACATCGCTCCTGCACTGGAGACTGAGCAAGGAGATCACCAGTGGCGGAGTTTCTGAGAAGAGACACAGTGTCTGCCAGAAAATGGTGTGCCATGGTCGGATGCCGTCTATTGGGGAGATCGGAAACACAAGTGCCATCTGGAATTTATTTCTTGATTGCCGCAAGCAGCTTGCGTGCCCAAGGTGTTTTCTTGGTTTCCACCACTTCCACCAGTGAGCTGGCGGATGAGGGTGCGGGCATTGGAGCGGTGACCCGTCCCGAAGTTCCAACTTTGGATGGGCATCTTAAGGCTCAATCTCACTTGGCTCACATTGTCAGAGGCTTTCTGGACTCTCCTCTTGGAGTAGTTACCACGTTCCAAGTTTCTTCTGCTTTAACTGGCTGAGATTCCGCTGCAAAACGCACATCTTTAGAATAAGAAGATACAAGTCTGCTCTGTGCCGCGACAGCCGTTGCAGTCAAGAGGTCTGCGAAGGTGAGCTTAGAGCACGCCGCCAAGAAGATATCCAGTCGAAAAATGGTGGCTCTGGCCATCTCTGCAGTGGAGACCACATCTCTGTGCAGCTGGGACCAGAGTTAGGGTCTTTGTTGGTCTTAGGCTTTTTACTTGTGGGTTTAGCTTTACCCTTAGCTTTAACGTTGGCTGAGTGGAAGTGGAAACCACCTTTCGAAGAGGCTCCCTGCTGGAGCTTAAACGGGCTGCAGTGGGTCGGGGGCTGCCTCGAGCAGTGGGCCTCCTTAGAATCACATGGGTTGCGCAAAATCTTGGAGGTTTTTGTGGCACCGGGGACAAGCATCCCAAAGCACTTTGGTACAGAGCCATACCCAAATTGTAAGGCTGGTGACTGGGGCGAACACCGAACGACTCGGAGATCGAAAAAGGGACATGGGCACATGGGTGCTGTTCGATTCGAGCAAACTTCTCCAGGACAACGTTCTCCAGGCCTGGTATCTGGTCGACTTCGATCTCGTCGTCATACACCTTGTATTGCAAGAAGCAACCGCTGGCATTCGAGGTGTATGCCCATCTTTCCAAAAGCACGGTGATCTCATCGAACACACGCGTGTAAAGTTTACAGACAGCGAACACATCGCTTCCATTACCTGGTGGAGCCACAAAAGGTTGGAGTTTAGCATTCGTCTTCATATGTCTTCATATTCCATGCATCTTGACAAAACCTTCCATCACTCTCGCTCTTACGTCCCGTTGCACCACTTTTCAGGCTCCTTTCCGCGGTTTCGTCAGACACCTGAATAAATTTGGTCTCAACACTTCTCGTGTGAATTCTTTTTCACTTCCTTAGGCTCCGTTTAACCTCTAACAAGCAGTGGTACAACCCGCTGACAAAATTTCCTCGAAGATCAACATGAGATTCGGCGTAGCAGCTGTCATTTTTAGCTTTTCCTGAGTTACAGGCAAACAAACGAAAGCAGCAAAGGTCTTTCGGCTGAGCTCAACGACTCCAAGTCTCAACAGGGCATCGCCGAGGGAACAAGACGGAGAATTCGCCCCAGTACCCATTGCACAAGCGTGAACCTAACAAACACCATTATCCAACTTTAGCAAACAACGCAAGTGCTTCTCCCAGCCAAGATTCGCAATATTAGCTTTGCGCGTATCAAGCATGTGGTTGTATCATGTTCCAACAGGGGCGCAGTGCCCCATGTGTCTTGAATCACGCAAGTTGTGCATCCTCTGAGCAACTCCAACTTGGCTGTCTGCTTGTTGCCCCAAATCCGAGCGCTTAGTCGGTCCTTGGTTCAACGATGCATTTCGAGCTCAAGGCATCCAGCAGCGGATGCCTCGTCTTCCAGAAAAAGAGCGCGCCGCATCCTTTGGTTAGAGCCTGCATTCCCCCCTTGCAAAAAATTTTTGGTAGGAACTTTGGTAACGGATCTACTCTCCTTGACTGCCTGTGCAGCATCTACGGGTTGCAGGCGGTGCTAAACTAGGCAGCAAATGCCAGCTCGCTTTGGCGGATCTGGAAGACAAGCAGCTCAGCACGCAAGAAAGATGACAGCAGCAAGAAAGCCACAAGGCTTCAGGTGGAAGAGCAGAAGAACAAACAAGAGTGAAGGCTTTTTTCTCGAGGTTCCACATAAGGGAGCAGAGCAGCTTTTTGAAAGTCTTTGTTGCTTTAAGTTTTGTCGATGAGCTGTAGGAAATGACATGACCAACAACCTGACCAGATTAATTTCGCTCTTAAATCTTACTGCTCTTCATTACAGGAAAGTGAAAGTGGCCAAGGTAGATCCGCCGCAGCTGCTGCTGCACACTTCTGGCTAACGACGAGACATTCACTGTTCACACGGGCCATACCCCTTGTCCATCCGCCCACCGTGCCGGAGTGCCGCGGGGGTTCTGCGTGCCTTGGTGATTCCCGCGGCTCGTAAAAAACAAGTGCGCGCGTATGGGGAGTGTGTCTCCGAATCCTCTACCCCTAAG